GGGGCTCCCCACTTTTCTTCTTCCTGCAGCCCCCTTTTCCCAGTGCCTTGGGTCCCAAACCCACAAACAGCCCAGAGTGGGGAAACTGCTCCCAGAGAGGGAGCAGCCGCTCTGCCTCCTTCAGCCCTCTGGGACCAGCCCGGCCAGGGTGCAGACCGAGAGTGCGGCCCCACCTGGAGGGGCCCAGGGAAGACCCTGACCGGGCAGGGCAAGAGTCGGAGCTGGGAATGGCTCCTCTGGACGGCAGGGGCAGCGCACGATGCCTCTCTCCTCTCTTCCAGCAGCCCCTTCCTTGGAGGGGACTCGTTTTTTGCTATTCACTTCCTTCGTTTAGTTTCACGTCCGCTTCCTTCTTCAAAGGTGGCTCCAGATAGTGCATCCCGAAGCTAATAGGCTAAAAATAGCCACAGCTGCCCAGCGCTGAGAGAGTCTCGCCAGCAGCAGCTGCTGCCTTGGTGCTTCCCCCACCCCGCGGGTTCAGCCAGTCCTCCCCACTGTGGGGTCACCTCAGGACGTCCCCTTGGGTGGCTTGGCCCCTCCCCCAGCATTTCTGCCACTCTGCGCCTGAGCCCCAGGAATCTTCCTTGGAAAGTTGGCATGAACACAGTCCTGGGAGAATAAACGCCAGCCCTCCCGAATCTTCAAGTGCCCGGAAATGGATAAATTAACTATGGAGCTAAAAGGGAAAGCTGACATGGAATACAATGCAATATGGGAAAGATTGACAATAGACATAAGAATAGAAAATGTAAGTAAATAATGTATATAATAGTTATGAGGGTATGGAAGTAGTGTGTATTGAAAGATTGGATAGGATGTATAAATGCATATATATATATATATATTGTCACAGTATTGTTCAAATAGTAATGGTATTATGTATAAACAGAAAAACCCAATAAAGTGTTGCCAAAAAAAGAAAATAGTAATAGAAAGTTGGCGTGTGGGCGGGGTGGGCAGGCGGCCAGGCCTGCACAGGCTGACTTAGGAGGGAAGAGCAGAGAAAGAGAGGGAGGGAGGGAGCCCCCAGCCCTAAGGTCAAGGGTCACGGCAGGGAAGGGGTTCTGCTGACAGCTGCACTTTGTCTGAAGACCCCACCCCGCCTTCTCAGGGACAGAAACCGCAGGGCAAAACCAGGGTGCGAAGCAGCAGGAAGACCGTTTCCCTTTCCTCAAGCATTCATGGATGAAATCCCAGACTAACAATACGTACTTAAAAGCAAAAAAGCCCCACCTGAGTCATCAGCCGGCCCACCATCGTCACACAATCCAGCCTCTAAACCTGGTAGCACAGCGGGACCTCGGGGCCCAACAATGCTGGGGCTGCTCTAAGCCCAGGGATGCTCCAAACAGGCCCATGGCCAAAACAGGCGTGGAGGGGACCCTGGTGCGCCTCTGGCATCTCGGACGGATGGACAGACGGACACAATCCAGGGAAGGCTCCCGTCTTCCCAACGCAACTGCAGGTGCTCAAAGGCCCGATGGCCGTGACCAGGCCTTGAACTAACCGCTGGCAGAGCAGAGGGGCAGGATGGCCACACCCGTTCCTCAAACAAGAGCCACCGTCCCGGGAGGAGCCCCGGGTGGCGCTCAGCCCCTGCTCAGGGGCAACGATGGCAAATCCCAAAGCCCCCCTTCAGCCGGTCCCTCGTCCCCCCAGCCCAGACTCCAGCGCATCCCCAGCGCAGAGATGGGCCTCATCTGCAGGCGACCGGTAGATCCTCTAAGTGTTTATACTATCCTTCAGGATCAGCACCTGCTCCGCTTTACAAGGGGCTTTCTCTTGAAACCTCCCTTGCTGGGCTAAGAAACCATTCTGTCTCATTCTACAGCGGGCAGAAGGAACGGCCCCAAGGAAAAACCACCCCCAGCACTGGCCAGATAAAAAGGGCTTCAGCTGGGCCAAGCAGCCAGTTTGAGAAGACCCCCTCCACATAAAGGGAGGGGGGAGCACAAACTTGCACAAGGCTGCTCACAATAAAAGGAGTCCTGACCTTCTTCACCTGGTCTGCCTCGTGGACTGACGCCCACCATTGACCACCCAGGGAAGCTCCCAAACCAGAAACCTGGAAGGAAACAAGCAGCCCACCAGATTCCCTGGTCTCCTCAATGCCTTCCCTGGTGGCCACCTCAACCCAAGGGCAGCAGGCTGCCTGGGGCAAAGAGGCCCCTTTTTGGTGCTCCTGGATTGTCCATGAAGGAATCTGAATCCAAACCCAAGCGGGGAAGGGAGGGAGGGAGGGAGGGGAGCTCCATTTCGCCGCCTTTCTTGCTGCTTTCTACTCCACCTCTGCTTCTCCCTCACCCACCACATCCCCCCCCCCCGGTGGTACAGACCTGTTGCTCGCTCACCCTCCAGCTTGCTTCTTCCTCCCATTCTCCCATGCCACCATTCCTCACCCTGGATTCATACCAGTTCTTCCTGCACCATTGTCTGCCAATTGCTTCCCCGTTAATCCCAAGGCAGAGATCGGTCTTTCCTACAGCAACTGTCACAGGGTTCACGTTTCCACCAAGATCACCAACGTGACTGAAAGGTGGGGCAACCACTGGCCCTCCGGAGCAGCCCTTCCACGACCCAGGCCCAGGCGGGACTCACCGATGATGGCATGCACTCGGACTGAGAGCTGCGTGCGCAGGAGCAGGATTGGCCGCCTCCCTTTGCTGCAACAAGAGGAAACCAAGTAAGGAAACCAGTCAGGACCAAGAAACCCCCCCCCCCCACACACACACACACACACACACACAGGGCCTGCCATCTGCTTCAACGAAAGGCAGCGTCCAGAAAACATTGCATGCAACTCCTCTGCTGCATGAAATGCGTGGGTGCCGGTCTGTATCCGGGTCCAATTCGAGGTGTTGGTTGTAACCTATAAAGCCCAGGTGGTATGGGGACGGGCTACCTACAGAACAGGCTTCATCTCATCACATCAGCACCTCCCACCTGGCCTGGTAGGAAAGGCCTGTTGCAGATCCCGTCAGCCAAAGGATTCGGACGGAGGGTCCAGGCCGTCTTGCCCATTTGCCCCCATCCGGGGGCATATCTTGCCCCCCAGAAGTGAGGCAGCCCCCCCCCTCTCTTGAAAGGAGAGCCTGGAGCCCAGGGGAGCACACAGCTGCAAGGCTGGTTAGCACATGGAAACGCCCTTCCCTCCTTTTAATTCATTTTTAACATGATTTTTAATTCATTCTTGCCTCTTCTTAAGTTTTTAAACCCTGTTTTTGTATTTGAATATTTTATTTGTGCAACAACCAGAGTCCCCCCGTGAGGAAGTTGGGCAGTTTAAAAATCTGATCAACAAACCACCCAAGTAAAAATAGAAGGGTGCCCAGCAAATGCCAGGCCTTCCCCTGCAGCCAGCAACTGGGGCCAGGGAGGAAAAAGGAGCTGCAGGTGTGGGCACCATGCACGATGAACCGAGCCTCCTCATGGACCGGCAAGCACATGGCGCCTGCTTGCCTCACGTACATCGAGTGTAACTTCTGACATTGAGAGGTGTCAAGCTGAGAGGTGCTTCTCCTTCCAGATTAGAACCGCCAGATGCGGTGGCCTGAAGTGCACAGGAGGGAAGTTTTCCAGTGCAAAAGGCGGTAAACCCCCCCAGCAGGGATTCACCTGATGTCTTCATAGAAGGCTTCCAGGTCGTCCTTCTGCTCCAGCAGTGAAAGCTCCAGGTCCAAGTAGTATCCGGAAGGCAGCACTTGCAAGGCGCAGTCCTCCAGCTGCAAGAGGCACATCTGGATGTTAGCCAAGCACGGAGCGTCTGCTCCGGGATCCCTCCTGGCCCCTCTCCCAGCACGGGCAAAGGCGGTGCCTGCATTGGCACCTAACCCTGGCTCCTTTGGAGGCAGGGCCGGATCCCGCCCTCACCTCCACCTGTTCAGGTGCAGGACCAATCCCAGGCCATCAGATGCCCTTTAAGGAGGGTGAGAGCCCCCTGCCCATCCAGCTGGAGCTGCTCAGAAGGGAGGAGCCAGGAGACCCCACCAGATCCCCAGGTCCAGCCTGGCCCCCTGCCTGCTTTCCTCTTTTTGTGTCCATTTCAGAAAAGCAGATGTGGGATTGGAAGGAGAATTTCTTCCCAGCACCGAAGAAAGAAGAACCAGGGCCTGCAAGCAGGGAGGCAGGAGTTTGCAGGCACCCATCCAGACTCAGGGAGAGGCCTCCAGCTCAGGCAGGGCTCCAGAGACCCAGAGGATGGATTTGCCCCCAGCTCTTACTGGAGCCCCAAAAGCTTCTGTGGCCCCTAAGAACCTCCTGGTCTGGCCACAAAAAAGGGCCCCAGGGGGCGAATCCGGAAAGGAAAGGGCAGCCCAGTCAGTCAGGGCCTCACCCGGGGCAGCCTGGCACTGAGGAGGCAAATGGAGAGGAGAGGAGTCAGCAAGTCAGGAAAAGAACGGAAGAGTCCGAAGGGAAGAGCAATGAAAAGAGCAGGCTTCCTCCGCCTGCCTTACACGAAAGAAAAGCTGAGGAAGTGGGGGGAAAGTCCCTTAAAGGAGGGAAATCCCAAACTTCCAAAAAGAGTCTTCAGAATAAATCCTGTGGCAGACAAGGAAAGTCAGAACTGGAAAGCCCTGGACACCAAGAAGAAGGGACAACTCAGCCTGACTTCAAGGTCAAGAAAGAAAAAAAGACATGGACAAGGAGAGAAATAAAGAGATCAAATGGAAATTTACAACCAAAGGAAGAGCACTTGAGGAGCCAAAAAAAGCAAAGTTAAAAGTTGGAAAGACTGCTCTGAAATCTTTTCCATCTTTAGAAAGAGGAGGTGACTCTGCTGGAAAGGGAGGAAAAGAGGTACCGTTTGGCACCTGCTCAACAGGAAAGCATTAATTAGCACGATCCCTCGATTGCTCTTCTGGAAACCTTTGCAGATAATAAAACTGCTGACTATAACAAATTTAGAGACAGGATCAGTCAGAAGAGAAGGACAGCGGGACGTAAATGGGTGCTCCCCCCATGTCTCCAATACCATAAATATGTTACTGTGTAATAATGGCAGAAGTGGAGGAGATGATGATGTCAGGAAGCTAAAAACTGTAGACTTGAGATAAGCAGCCACTTCCATTTAGTTAATAGAAAGGAAATAAGACTTAAAAAATGGGAAGTAGAACAAGTCAAATTAACGTAAAGTATTTAAAAAGTAGAGGTAAATATCAACAGGCATATTCAGTTATCTGAAAGTTTATGGGAAAGAGATGGAAATGGCACACAACTTGAATAAGAAGGAATGGAGAATGCGGTAGAAAAATGAAGAAGATATTAGTCTTAGGGAAAAACCTATGCAGAATCATGGATGTTTTATTCAGACATTCAGTTTTAATTATATAAAATATTTTGTCCAAGTTTCAATAAAAATTGAAGTATCTGAATGCAGCCAAGATCAGACTAAAGCAATGATCTTTCTGGCTCTGAAAGGCCAGCTATGAAAATGGGGCACTAAGAATGACCAAAAGGAAGGCAATAACAAGATGCTTCCAAATTATTTATTTTGCGGCAGCTACTACCAAGAACGTGGGATCTGCAAGCAGTCCTCCGTCAAATGCCCTGCCTGCTCTCCAAGACGAGAGGACAAAGCATGCAAAAGCTGAAGCATGTCAAGGAATGGACGATGGGCTAGGAGAAAACCAATTAGGCTTGGCAAGATTGAGGGAAGTTGGAAGAGATGCCAATGAATAAGTCAGATGGGCAGCATCCAAGATTAATGGAAGGGCTCAAGTGGGACTGAAGAGGGCAAACAGTTGACCATGTGACCACAAGGAGCTCAGTCCACTCTGAGTAGCTCTGGCTAAGCAAGCCTGCCTGCTCTGGCCTTCTGATGGGTAGGCTAGCCGCCTGCAGGTAGGTAAATGCCACAAACAGGTGTGCGCCACAGCCTTGTCGTCACACAGGTCAGATGTTGGGCCTGCATTATCCGCCCTATCCTGCGCATCCGGTGAGGCCAGAGAAACGCCGCCTTTGGCCAGGGCTCCTCTGCCCGTTTCACGGAAGCCCCGGGCAGGCCGCTGGCGCTCCGTCCCCGTCCCCGTGGCCCAACGTTTCTTCCTCGGCAGCCGGCCCTTCCAAGCGCTTCGGCTGCATATCACTTCCCGCAGGCTGGGCCGGCCCTTCCGCGGTTTCAGCGGCCCAAAGCCGGCGGGCAGCGATAAGAGCCGCCCTGCGGGCCCCGCGGCGGGAAGGCCTTTCCTGTTTGTGGCCGGCTGTTTTTAGCAACAGGCGCAGAAGGTCGCGGCCCGGAGCGCGTCACCCGAGCCGCTCAGAATAGAAGCCGCCCCAGCCAGCCCGGGGCCGCTGCCCGGCTCAGCTCGCGCGGCTCCTTTGGGCCGAGTGGCCGGCACCGACCCGCCGAGGGTGCCCGGGCATCGCCCACGCCCGGCCGGGGCTCCACGCCCGGCCTCCCCTCGACTTGCTCCCCCGCCACCCCCCGAGGCGCTCACCCGCAGCGGCGCGCCCAGCAGGCGGAGGAAGGCGGGCACTTGGGCGGCCAGCGGCAACGCCTCGGCCACGGGCGAGCTGGGCGGGCGGCGCGGCTCGGGGAAGGAGGCGCAGCAGAAGGGGTCCCCGTCCTCCAGGTACTGCAGGCGGCACTGAACGACGCCCGGCGGCTCCGGCTCGGCCATGGTGCGGCGGCGGCGGCGGCGGATCTGCGGCGCTCTCCCCGGACGGACGGAGCTGCGCCGGCGGGGCGCGCGGGCGGCGCTGGCCTGGGATTGGCGAGGCGGAGCTTCCAGGGCGGGGACCCACGAAGACCCCCAGCGGCGGCTCCGGCGGCTGCGGCGGATGCCCTGCGCGCTTCCTTTCTTGAAGGCCCTGAAGGTTGTGGAAGGCGGCGGGGCTCCGGTCTGCGCCCTCCAGCCCAGCAGAGGAAGCCGCCCTCCGGACCCTGGACCGGGAAGGCCAACGTGGCCCTCTGATCTCGGGGCCCGGGTGGGGGTGGCGCTGGCCCCAACTCCGGCGTCCTGGGGGTGGGGACTCCTGACTCGGCCCCACTGAGGAAGGCTCAGCACAGCCCGAGGACGCGGGTCTCTTTTTGCCCAGCGGGCATCGGCCCCTCTTTCCCAGCTTCCGTCCCTCCGATGGGCTGCTTCAACGGTCAGCCACATCAGAAACTCCGTTTTAGCAGAAGTGGAAAAGAATTAAAAGGAAAAAATGGTCGCTTGGCATTTGATACTCCCTTTAGGCCACGTTTTGTACCTTTTTTTCTACTGCCACATTACCCCAATAAATTAGAGGTGGCTATTTTTTAAAATATTTTGAAATTAAAATTTATTCAAGACGGTACAAAAATGAAGCCAACTTCCGAGGAAGCAGCCTGGTCTAGTGGTTAAGACACTAATTGGTTCCCAATTGGGCTCTGAGCCTGATGCCCAGCCGGTGAAGAACACCAGATATGAGGGGCGGTTTTTCTTTCCTTGAAGCGCCCCAAGAAAAGGGTCCTGGCCAAAAATGCCAAGGAACCTCGAACAATAGAATTAAGAATGCTGAAACATTTTCACTAAAGCAGAAGACGGGGTATATAAAACAAATACTCTAATAAACATTTTAGTAACGATCTAACAATTGACCTCCCGATTCCTAAGCCTTGGCTAATGGATGTTGCAGGAGTTGTCTAATACACCTTCTATTTGCTGCAGGTCATCCCTGTTCTTAACTTCTGGCTGAGCTATGCAGGATGTCTAACTCCTCGTTGCTGTTATCACTTCTCTAACCACCTAGGACTGGTACAATTGTTACACGTGCATATTCTCTGTGAGTTCTTGCCAGACAGACTCCACAATTACAGACATCCCAGTTTTCTTTCAAGTGCATATGCCACAGCCTTGCTTCCTTTTAGCAACCCACCAGACCAAGTTAGAAACCAGGAGACTGAGTTCGAGTCCAGCCCAGGGCATGAAACTTGGCTGAGTGTCTTTGGGCCAATCGCTTTCTCAGCCCAAATAGGAGGAGGAAGGAATGTTAGGTAATCGATGCCTTGGGTTATTTATAAAAACAATAAAGGATAAAAATAAAAAAAAGTACCAAGTATTTAAAACATGACTTTGTGGCCCACTCAGTCAGGGTGTGAAGCCTGCCCGAAAGTCGCAGGGCAGGCTGGGCTCAGTGGCACGGAAGGAAACCAGGCGTTCCTCAGGGAAGTAGAGGGGGGTGCACAGAAGTTGTGCTCTTTAGGGCTTCCGGTTTTGCGTGGCTTCGGCGGCAGCAGGAATTCGCGACTGTCCGCGATTCCTGCTGCGCTTGCTGCCAAGGTGCCCCCGATCCAAATGGGTCTGGGGGATATGGCTGCCCTGTAGAGGCAGCCAAAGAGAGTGGGGATCTGGACAGGGGTTTGGGGGTGTCGCAGACCCCCTCAGCCGGAAAAACCCCTTTTTCCCAAGGTGGTGGAGCGGCAGTCAGTAATGGCCGCCACAAAGAAGCCTGCAGCCGGGTAAGATTTGTGCTGGAGGAAGCAGGAGAAGTGAAAGTGCTGGCTGAGCTGGGACAATAACAACTCTTAAATACCCTGGAAACTGAATTGCTTGAATTGCCTGAAGGATACATTGTTTCCCAAAGAAGATTGGAAAGTGGCGGAGAAAGCTGTCAAGGGAAAGTTTTTTTTCTTCACTCTCCCTCCCCATAGAAATAGCAGACGGAGATCTGGAAAATCTACTTGGGCACCGAAGGTAATTCAATTTGAAATTTAAAGCCAAGGGATAAAGGATTTCTGGACATTGGATTTAAAAACTTAAAATTCTTTCTATGTTTTACAAGGGGAAGGGAAGAGATAAAGACTTATTATAAGACTGTACTGAAGGAGACTACTTTGAGCCTATAAGAACAGGATTAAAAGACATTAAGACTTCTAGAAGATCATCTTGGAACTGTGTATTTAAATTCTACCCTAGGAGGTGAAAATATAGAAAGAAGAAAGTGCTAAATGAAACTGCTTGCTCTGATTTGGTTTGCTTTGTGACTTTGAGATTTCTGTGAATTTTTGTTAAAAAAGGGGGGGGGGACTAAAGACATTAGGGTTGCTTCAAAAAAGAAAGAAAGAAAAAATGGCATTATCTTTTGAAGGACTGCAAATGGAATTTCAAAGACTGAAAAAAGAAGATAAGGGCTCTTCTGGATCTATCTTTCACTTTTTAGAAATGGCGATTTCTACCTATCAAGAAATACGACAACGACAGGAAGACTGGGATGAAGGAGAAGAAGCCATCTTTAATGGACAAACACACTTAGTGGAGGAAGAAAAGCGGAAGGGGGGCAAGGAAAAGATGAACTTAGAACTTAAAAAAGCAACCAAGAAAAAGAAAAATGAGATGAAAAAGCGATATGATGTCAGAAAGCAACAGAAAAGAGAAATACAACAGAGAGGGAAGATTAAGAGAGTGAAATTGGAGAGATGGGGGGGTCAAAAAGTTAGAATGGAGAAGAAAGAAAGGGGAAAAGGAAAGAGAAGTCATAAAGGCTTTAAACAAGATGCTAAAAAACGAATTTTTTTCAGAGATAAGGGGTAAGATAATTTTATAAAAATGATTCTGCAAAAGTACATAAGAATGTATTGTAGACATTAGTATTTGAAGCTGAGTTAGAAAATTAGAATATTATATGATTTAAAAATGTATTAAAGGGAAGCCATGATTTAATTATAGAGTTTAATTTCTTATGAAATATTATCTTTATTGTTTAAGAATTAATAATAGAATCTAATTTCCTATGAAACATTGTTTTTATTATATTATAAATTTAATATTTCTTTTTTACTTTTTTTTAGTTTTATTATTACTTATCAAATTCAATATTATTTGTTTGTTTTATTATTTTGAAATGTAATACTGAGCAGAATCAGTACGGAAAATATGTATTATTTCAAGTGTTATTTAGGGGGAAGATAAAAAGTTGTCATACTTCAATCTGGGTTTACAGGAGAAATATTGTATTAGATAGAAAGGATAAGTAGGTGATTGAAAGAAAACGGACCAAAGATGCAAATATAATTATTTAATCGAGATGGAATAAAATAGAATTAAAAGAATGAGTAGGAGAGATAAAATATATGGAAAATAGAGAATGCTAAATAAGATATGAGATAGTATATTAAGTGAGTATAAATTTTGATTGATGTCTGTATAAAAAGAGTTAACTCGGGGTAAGCCGCCTTCCAAAAAGAAGTTTTATGTATTTATGTTTTGTGTAATGTTTAAGTTTGACAGGATGTGGAAGAAAACTAATGAAAATATATTCAATGAGTATATAATTTCAAGGCAGAAGAAATATGATTAAATAGAAGGAAAGGGAGTAATAAAGAGAAGTTTCGAAAGATATGAAGTTGATTAGATAAGATAAATATATATATTAAATTATAGAAGTGTGATAATTTGGAATTATCTTCTTTTTAAATAAGATGGTTTATTTGTTTCTTCTAGAAAAGATATTTTATGTTACTACATCCTATGCTTTGTTTGTGTGTGTAAAAAAAAAACTAATAAAGTTTGTCCAAAAAAAAAAAAAAAGAAGTTGTGCTCTTCAGAGACACACACATCCTCCAGTTGTTGCCAAGCAGCACAACTACAAGCCACTTTCCTCCTCAGAGTGGTGCTGGGCTTGTAGACTCACATGTTCTTGCACCGCTCCAAGATATTTCTGGCTTCAGGTCTCCACATCAGTTGGAATCGGATCTGGGGGTTCCCGCAGGATCCCTTGGTCTGCTCAGCCAGAAGCGTCTGAGTGGGGCTGTCTGTGGGCGCCCAGGACCTTGGCGCAGTCCCTGCAGATGCAGCAGATGAGAAAGGCTTTCAGGAACCAGGTGGAGTCCCCCTTGTTGCACGGCAGAATCAGAGCTCCAGGGGGCTCACCGGCCATCATTTCCCCGTGGACAGCCAGTGAGCTTCCGTGGACACTTCCATGCTGTAGAGTGTACAGTGATTGCACCAACTTGACCAGATGGGCTGGTAGCCCCAGGTCTTGTAGGGATCTCCATAGCATCTCATGATCAAGGCTTTCATGTAATTGGTGAAGCACATGAAAACCATTAGATATTCACGAGATTTAAAAAAAAAACATTTTATTGATTAAATTGTTAAAAAATTGGACACGGTGTGATCGTCCTGACATTGATTTTGCCACACATACTATAGTATATGATAGATATCTTACATACATTTATACATTTATAAAGGTAACTTATCTCCATAGTCTTATCCATCATATTCCATTGTGCTTATTTACATAACCTCAATTATCCATTCTACAAATCCTATTCATTTTTTGTTCTGGGTCCCTCCTTTCTGTTCCCACCATTGGTAAAATTTATTTCACCAGATTTTTCCATGACCAGCACAGATTTGCAATATGGTCCCAGGCGCCATGACCCCTTCAGAAGCCAGTTTGGACATCTGGTAATTCCCTTTCAATAGTTGGTGCCAGATGATGTCACATAATTTTAAGCAGAACCTTGCTGATTTGTGAGGGATGAGATGAGAACAACTGTGCAATATGTGGAGCAATCTTTAGCGTCGCCCTTTTTTGGCAGTGGAATGAACACTGGGCATTTCCAATCCTGTGGCCACATGTGTTGGTTTCCCAGATTTTCTGGCATAGATCTCTACCGACTGCAAGTGTTTAGGGGTCTCGGTAATTCTGCAGCAATGATGTCAACCCCTGGAGTCTTGTCGTTTGGCAGTCGGTTCATCGCCCATCTGATCTCTTCCTCAAGGTTGGCCAGTTCTAGTTCTCTGTTTCTACAGGGAGGCAGCAGAGGAGAGGGGAATGGATCCCAGCCTCAGAGGGCGGAGCAGGGCAGGGACCGGCATTCCTGTCTCTGCTGGGAAGAACCTTCTGCCTGCCGGAACTGGGTGTGT